TGAAAGAAACCTTGGGAGAACAGGCACAGGTTCTCTTACATAAAATACTATTGGTACTCATTACTCTCACTCCCCCACTCCTCAAGCAATTCTAGCCAGCATCTCCTAGTTCCAGAGATAAAGATGCCCTTATGGGTTACTAATAAGTGCTTAACTTCTTTGATGGGTCTTCTGGGATGATTCCTAAGGTAACTTTCAAGACAAGCTATAATTATCTCCCTTTTCAGAAGATTCTTATTTTCTTGTGATTTTAATTATGGGGATCTTTAAGGAGGCCCATATAGTTAAATAGACTACTAAATAGAAAGGTTGGTGGTTCAAACACACCCAGAGACACTTTGAAAGACAGCCCTGGTGATCTGTTTCCAAATGACCACAGCCTTGAAAAGTATATGGGATATATTTCTATTCTGCACACATGGAGTTGTCATGAGTCAGAATAAACTGGACAGCAACTAACAGCAAGTAATGTATACAGTTGTTGTTATAACAGTAGCCATAGAATAAATGAAATTAATTTCCTAGAATGTGCTTTCCTGATCTTCCAAACTCCTTTGAATATTACAAAGCAGGGTTTACTCTATATGTTGTTTAATGTATAACTATCAGAAACAGAAGGTGGACCACAATGGGTAGGTCAGTTTAAAAATGTAGAAGAGATATTGTCAGAAATTTCTTGCATATATGTTGCTGTGAGATGAGAAATAATTATTAGATTGAAAAAAAAAAGCTACCTAAAATACACATGAAAAAGATCAAGATTTATGATGTGGTCTGGCATGAGGCTAAGCATTCATATCCAGGTATACACTATCAAGCATAACACAACTATAGTGAAAGATTCTGAAGATGGATAGTGTTAGAGCATGGTCTTAAGAGTCAGACAGTCTGCCTCCACTTCCTACTTGAAAAATTTGGGGCATGTAGGTTGTTCCTGTATTTTTATTGACTATGTAAAGGCATTCAATTGTGTGGATTATAACAAATTATGGATAACATTTCAAAGAATAGGAATTCCAGAACACTTAATTGTACACATGAGGAACCTATACATAGACCAAAAGGCAGTCCTTTGAACAGAGCAAGGGGATACTGCATGGTTACAATCAGTAAAGGCATGCATCAGAGTTTTATCTTCTCACCATACTTACTCCCCTGTATGCTGAGCATATAAGCTGAGAAGTTGGACTGTATGAAGCAGAGCATGGCATCAGGATCAGAGGAAGAATCATTAACAACATACTATATGAAGATGACACAACCTAGCTTACTGAAAGTGAAGACCTGAAGCATTTACTGATGAAGATCAAAGACTACAGCCTTTAGCATGGATTACACCTCAACATAAAGAAAACAAAATTCCTCACAGTTGGACCAATAAGCAACATCACAATAAATGAAGTAAAGATTGAAGTTGTCAAAGATTTCATTTTATTTGGATCCAGAATCAACACTCATAGAAGCAATAGTCAAGAAATCAAACATTGTGTTGCACTAGGCAAATCTACTGACCTCTGTAAAGTGTTAAAGAGCAAAGATGTCACGTCGTGGTATTTTCAGTAACCTCATATGCATGTGAGAGCTGGATGTTAAATAAGAAAGTCCAAAGAAGAATTGATGCTTGTGAATTGTGAAGTTGGCAAAGAATACTGTATAGCATAGACTGCTAGAAGAATGAACATAAATCTGTCTAGGAGGAAGTATAGGCAGAATTTTCTCAGAAGCAAGAATGGCCAGACTTTGTCTCCCATACTTTGGTCATGTTGCCAGAAGGGACCTGTCCATGGAGAAGGACATCATACTTGGAAGTAGAGGTCAGTGAAAAAGGGGAAGACTCTCAATGAGAAGAACTGACACAGTGGCTGTGATGATGGACTCAAGCCTGACAGTTGTGAAGATGGTGTAGGACCAGGCAGTGTTTCATTCTGCTGTACATAGTGTCACATGAGTTGGAACCAACTTGATGGCACCTAACAAGTGGGGTTTTTTTGCTGTTGTTGTTCTCCAATAATTTTATTAGGTCCAGTTTTATGGTGACATACTATGCTTTTCACACTGTTCATATTTCCCATTTCCATAATCCAAATGCCAAAAAAATTACTATACATTCCCTTGTTGTTGTTGTGACAACATTCCCTTATACAGTAAAAATAGGTTTACTAGAATGTTTTTAGTTATACCTGAAGGCAGCAACATTTACAGCATTTAGCTTTTGTTATATCCATAAACATGTAGGAATTGCTTGCAAAGTAATTGTAATGGGAGAGGAATGATCTCTCTGCAAATATTGACAGAATGATTATGCATCTCTTTTAAGTATAATGATTTGGTAGCCAACATAGGTTTCCTAACCCCCCAGCTTGACCCCCACCTTGAGGCAATAATTCAAGTCCTTATGCCATTAAAATAATAGTATGAAATTATCATCATCAGTGTTTAACTATATACATAAATAATGAACTGGCAAGTATCAAGTTTCAAATTAGATCCTTGAAATATGGCAAAATACACGCTGGTTATTTTTGCCTTAAACGTAATAATTAAAAGCATATTTTATTAGGAGGGAAGAAGATAAATGGACATTCTCAGTGCTCCAATTTGAAGTGATATTTGCCTCTTAGTTTCTTGAAAAAGAAGTTTTAAAAGTATATACATAGGTTTCATTTAATTATGCAGCAATCTTTTATTATTATTATTATTATTATTGTCCCAGATCTTGCTTAATGAAGATCTCTTTCATCAAATCAAGTATGGTATTTCATAACTATAAGAATGATAATCACCAGCAAAAGGATAACAGCAACCAAAGCCATAATGGCTTTTATTTTGCAATCACGCCACACATTTGCCTTTGAATTTGTTTGGGTCTGTTGCTAAAAGCAGTTGCATTATCTGATAAGCTTTCTGACTTGTCCTGTAGGTCATCTAGTCTCTCCCTTATTTCAATTGCCTTTGTAATATTTTCTTGCATAACATCAATAACTTCATCCACCTGATTTTGAACAAGCTTAATTTTATCATTTCTAGGTCCAAATCTTGGTCCCTGTGGGAGCTCCAATAGCGTAGTGCCTAAGGCACTTGACGGCTAACCAGAAGGCTGGTGGTTCAAACCCACCAGCCACTCCTCGGAAGGAAGATGGGGCAATCTACTTCTATAGTGATACTGCCTCGGAAACCCAAGGACGGGTCCCCATGAGTCGGGTCCGACTCAACGGCACATACTAACAACAACAATGGTCCCCTTAGAAAAAAGCCCTCTTCTTCATCTGAATCATCTTCCAAAAGATTTCTCCTTTGACTTTTCACAGAACCAGTGACATCATCGTCATTTAGGTGGCGTTTGAACTTGGGAGGCGTATTTTTTTACTATGAACCACTTTTCTACTTCCCAGTAGAGCAAGAATTCACCACCTGTGGCTCCTGGGGCGCTCGGGGCAGCTCTCGTGGGCGTGCTGTGCTGTGAGGGTGGGGGAAGGAGCGGGAACCTGGGAAGAAGGCGGGGAGGGGGACGGACTGTGGGGCGCAGACCCAAAGTCTGCAGCTCCGCGGCAGCAGCGCCCCCGGCTCATCCAAGAGGTTCTTTCTTTAAGTTTCAATTTTTCAGTGTAAATGGGAGTACTGCATACAGTATCCTCAAAGGGTTGATGTGAGAATTAAATGAGATAGTACAAGCAAGACATTTAGCACCGTACTACATTTCTGTCTGATCAGCATTTAATTTCTTTGTAAGTATTTTACTATGGTCAAGTGTAAGTTTACAGAGAAATTAGTTTCTCATTTAACAATTTATAGAGGTTGTTCTGTGATATTGGATGTAATCCCCGTAATGTGTCAGCACTCTTCCTGTTTCCACCTTTTGTTGTTGTTGTTATGTGCCCTCGAGTCAGCCCCGACTTCCCTCCTTGGGTTTCCGAGGCAGTATCACTACGGAAATAGGATTGCCCAACCTTCCTTCCGAGGAGTGGCTGGTGGGTTTGAATCGCCAGCCGTCTGGTTAGCAGGCAAGTGTCTTAGCCACTATGTTACCAGAGCTCCCTGTTTCCACCTTAGCTTCCCCATATCTATTTGCCCAGTTTTCCTGCCTTGTTAACTTTGCTTTTCAGTAAATTCTGTCCCTTTTTTTTCTCCTACAATTGATTTTTCTGAGGAACATGTTCCACCTGGATGTTATTGTTCACTTTATGAACCTGTCTTTTATGTGCCTGAAAGGTCATCTCCAGGTATGTCTTCAATTCTAAGTAAGAAGTGTGTCTAAGCCCATCACCTTGGGGATTCCGCCAGTCTCTATCAGAACAGTAAGCTTGGTTTATTATTGTTATTATTATTATTATTATTATTATTATGAGTTTTGTTTCATATTTTACTCCCACTCTATCCAAGACTTCCCATCATCATCCTTTTTTAGAACAAGCAGCAGCGGTAGGGACCATTTAATTCTTCTGATCTCAGGGTCATGGAGGCTAGAGTTTGCATGGTCTGTTAGTCCTTTGGACTACTTGCTTCCTTGCATCTTTGATTTTCTTCCCTTTTCATTGCTCTAGCTGGGGAGAGACCAACAGTTGCACCTTAGATCACCACTCACAAGCTTTGAAGATCCCAGTTGCTATTCACCAGAGTAGGATGTAGAATATTGTCTTTGTGGACTATGTTATGCCAGTGACCTTGATGTCTCCTAACACTGTGATCCTGAGCCCCCAGGCCCAGTGACTCATTCTTTCAAGGTGTTTGGTTATAGCTAAGATGTTTTATAACTTTGTCCCATATATGCTCTACCATATTTATGGATATATTTGTAGCACATACATACATATGTAGAAATATTATGTCAAACCTATATATATGTGTGGGCGTAGTACCATTTCCCTTCCCACAACTGTTCAGCTGTGTGTCTAAGTATCCACAAGTGGGTTATTGTTATTACTGTTATTGCAGGATTGTGCATGTACACTGTTTACCTGTTTTGCCTTTAACTCATGTGCTCCTCCCACTGTCTTTCTTTGCCTTGATCATTTTGTACTAACCTCCCTCTTATTGTATATTGTCTTCTTTCTTCACCTCAGTTAATTTATGTCTACCTTGTAGTTAGTGATTTACCCTCTCTTTCCCTGCCTAAGAATTTTTTCTTTGTGTGTGGAAACATTTTCTTGACTTTTCACAGTAGTGGTCTCATATAACATATGTTCTTTTATGTTAATGACTTCTAGGTTCACACATGTTATGAGGTGTTTCATAGATTCATCATTATTCTTTAGCATTGGGTAGTATTCCATTGTGTGCATTCCATATTTTGTTTATCCATTCATCTGTTAATGGGCACTTAGGTTGTTTCCACATTTTGCTGTTGTGAATAATGATGCAATGAACATGAGTGTGCATATATTTGTTCATGTTCACATGTCATGGCTCTTGCTTCTCCAGGGTATAAATCTCATAGTGAGATTGCTGGATTATATATTTCTATTTCCAACTTTTTAAAGAAGCAACATACTCTTTTCCACAGTGGTTGCACCATTTTACAGTCTCACCAGCAGTGTTTGAGGGTTCCAATCTCTTTATACCCTCACCACCATTTGTAGTTTTCTGGCCTTTTGAACTTTGCTGTTAATGCTGAGGTGAGATGACATCTCTTTGTTTTGATTTGCATCTCTCTAATAGCTAATGCTCACTATTATTGTAAGATCCCAGTTTCAATCACCTGAACATTTTCTGTGATGAAGTGTCTATTCACGTCCTTTGCCCATTTTTCAATTGGATTATTTGTCTTTTTGTTGTTGAGGTATTGGAGTTTTCTATAAATTTTAGAGATAAGACCTTTTCAGATATTTCATTGCCAAAAATTTTTCCCAGTCTGTGGATTCTCTTCTCATTCTTCTGGAGAAGTCTTTGGATGAGCATAAGTATTTGATTTTTAGGAGATCTCTGTCTTTTAATTTACCTTCTACAAAGAGCCAAATCCACTAAATGGGGAAGAAATAATCTCTTTAAGAAATGGAAAAAGTGAATATTTATTTGCATAAATATGAGATGTTGTTGTTATGTTGTTATGTGCCGTCGAGTCAGCCCTGACTCATAGCGACCCCTCCTTGGGTTTCCGAGGCAGTATCACTACGGAAGTAGGATTGCCCAACCTTCCTTCCTAGGAGTGGCTGGTGGGTTTGAACCACCAGCCTTCTGGTTAGCAGTCATAGGATCCATATATATCTCACATCATACACAAAAACTAACTCAAGATGGATGAAAGACTTAAATGTAAAATCTAAAACAATAAAGATGGTAGAAGAAATATAGTGGCAAACATTAACCTTACCCTTTGCCATGGAGTTGATTCTGACACATAGTGACCCCATAGGGCAGAGTAGAACTGCCCTATAGTGTTCCAATGCTGTAATCTTTATGGAAGTAGACTGCCACATCTTTCTTCCATGGAATTGCTAGAAGGGCAAACCTACGGCACCTAATTTGTGGTATAAATAGACTTTCAAACATAATTAAAAGTGCACAAACAATAGAAGATAAACAAGATGATGGGGACCTCCAAAAAATATTTATGCTCAGAATTTAATTTTTAAATCAACTTTATTGAGGTATTCTCTACATACAATGAAACACACACATGTTAAGTGCAATGCATTTGATGAGATTGGAAAAAATGTAGATACTCTTGCAACCACCACTCCTCTAACGTTATACATTTCCATCACCCAGTAAATTGTTATATGCCCTTTTGCAGCCCCTCTCCCTGCATTCTCTTGACCACTGATCTGATTTCTATCACTATAGATTAGTTTCACCAATTCTAGAACTTCATATAAAAGGAATACTTTGATATATACTGTTTTGTGTCTTGCTTTTTTCATCAACATAATGTTTTATGAGATTCATACATGTTTTTACCTATATCAGTAGTTAATTTTTTATTTTTCCAATTGTTAAGTAGTATTCTATATTATATGGTTATACCAGTTTCTTTTTCTGTTTGCCCGCTAATGGATAGTTGGTTGTTTCTAGTCTAATATACATTAGACTGCTAGTCATATCCCAATTTTATTGGTTCATGGCCATCATTATCCCAAAACAATTATTGGACTCAGCATTTGTCTTGGGAGATTCTCTGATTGTTCTTCAGAACAATCCAAAACTTAACAGAACATAGCATGGACTCGAGCCAACCTCTGAAAGTCCATTTTTATTTGTAAACAGTTTTCTCTTGGGTATTTGGTTATGCATTTGCTATAACCTCCATTTGCATTGCCATATGTTCTTCTAATTAATTACATTGCTTTTAGGGTCATTAATCTTTTCACTTCACATGTGAGTAATATTCTTCATTCTATTCGTTGAGGTTCTTAGTTCTAAGCAAATGAAACCAATTTTGGACCCTTTACAAAGGAAATGATGTAAGGAACCTGATAAAATCATCATTGGGAGACAGGCAGGAACAAGGAAAACTAGGTAGCGCAGGTAGCCACCAAGACCACAGCTAACACCAACCACATCAACCTATTAATGGCACTGCTGCCACGGTTACTGACTCTAGACTCTAGACTCTCCATTTTTGCTCTTGGTTATTACTTCTGATGAACTTTCTAATACCTATTCCATTTCCTATTTGCCTTCAGATGTTGTTGTTCTTGTTGTTAGGTGCTGTCAATTTGGCACAGACTCCTAGCGGCCCCAGGTACAACAGAACGAAACACTGCCCAGTCCTGCACCAGCCTCACAATCCTTGCTATACCAAAGCCCATCATTGTAGCCATTGTGTCAATCCATCTTGTCGAGGGTCTTCCCCTTTTTCACTGACCCTCCACTTTACCAAGCATGACGTCCTTCTCCAGGGAATGGTCCCTTCTGACAACATGACCAAAGTAGATGAGACGAAGTCTGGCCAGTCTCACTTCCCAGGAGTGTTCTGGCTGCACTTCTTCCAGGACAGATTTGTTAGTTCTTCAGATGGCTGCTCCTAAAACACTTTAAATGAGGTGTTGATTTGTGATGGGTCGTTAATAGAAGAGCAACAGGAATAGGCACACTAGAGGTGTGAGCCAAAATCTCTTGCCTTCTAATTATGACCTTAAGCCTTCCTTGATCATTTCCTTCTGATAAGAGACTGTTGCCAGGAATGCCTGATTTTATGGGTAGGAAAAATTAGATATATCCATTCATATGGACAGGCTGGGACACATGGTCACTTGAATTCCATGTGGATAATCACATGATAATACATAGTTTATGGACTTAGTTTCTACTGAGATTTAGACACTAGCCTGAAACAGCTTCTCACTGGTATAATAGACATTGCTTTTTTCCAGGCAATCACACTGGAGAATCACAACACTCCAAGTTTATTCACTCTTTTCCTCAAATCCTCAATACCTCCTCTCCCATCCCTACTCTCAGCTGATGATCTTGCTTTCTAATTCACTGAAAAAAAAAAAAATGAAACAATAGAAAATAAACTTCCACAGACTTCCAGTCATTAGCATCTGCACTTAAATACCTTCATGCCTATAGATGAATTATCCATGCTTCTATCTAAGGCAAGTTAAATAATAATGTTATACTCACTGCTGTAGACTCGGGTCTGACTCATAGCAACCCCTCCTTGGGTTTCTGAGGTGGTATCATTATGGAA